CCGGCGCCGAGAACCCGGTGCGCGGACTTCTGTCTCCTATTCAAGGGTATGTTGGGACAACCCAACCCCTATGGAAGTCGAGGGAAGGAGGAAGACAGTTCACTCTGGGGCAAGCCACAAAAAGACGGTTTTGGAGCTGCAGTAGCGTTCCTTTGCAAAGGACTTGGATGTTGTGTTTTTTCTTCTTTTCTTGCGTTGATTTATTTCATCTTATTATTTTTTGTCTTCAACCTTGGAGTTGGGTCCGGACCTCCCAGGGAACGTGGATCCAGGCGGCGGGGGGGCGAAGGGGCAACAGAACCCGGAAGCCGTGCAGGCCCCTCCTCATTCGCTTGCATACTCGCACCCACTGGAACGCTCAAGGCCAGTTGGTGTGGACCCCCGAACCGTGTGTCGAGCCGGATCCAGGCGGGAGCCAATATTCCGACAGGTGGGGACTGGGGTGGGCGAGGGGGCCCGGGCCTCGGGGAATCTTCCGGGGAGGAGGAGGGGCGAGAGATTGGAAAAAAAAAAAAGGCAAAATAAAGAAAATTCTAGAGTAGACGCTGAATTAACTGGATTTTTTCTTGGGAGAACGAAAGGGGTTGAACCCAAATTAGGGCTTGGGTTCTGGGGCTTGAGTGTAAGTTTAAGGGGGGTGGGGAACAGATGTCTGATTAAAGCGAAGAAAAATTTATGGGAAAGTGCTAAGTCGCCTTGCTTTAAGGAACCTCGAGCTCTAAACCTTCAGCTCCAGGGGTCTAGCTGGCTGTGTTGTAAAGCCCTTGAGCAGTGTGGGGTTACAGACCAGCTGGTGAAGCCTCCTCTTCCCGGCCAAGGGGCAGTGCGTCTCATTTTCTGCCATCCTGGCCAGCCGAAAAGCGGCCAATAAACCCGCGAACAGCGACTGGTCTGGTTGGTCTGGTATTTGCGCCCTGGCGTTCTCCGCGCCCTGCGCAGGCTGGCGGGGCAGTCCGCGCAGCTCAATAGGGAAGCCCCGGCCCTGGGAGCTCCTTCGGAACCCTACTCACTGGGTGCAATTTACAGAAACTATCGAAGTCTTCCCCCTATTTCCCCGCAGTCCAGAGGGGAAAGGTGTCAGTTTGTCAGAGAGAGAACGGTTTCCAGAACAAAGGTCCATGATGTGAACTGCTCCCTCAGATAATAGGAAGAAAATCCTGGGAGGAAACAGGATGGTGGGGAGCATAAATCCCAAAACTGAAATCCCCAAAGAGGACAGCTCCAACAGAAGGTTTTTTTTTTTTAATTTCCCCTGGCTTTCTAGGAACCCAGATATTTATGGGCGTATTTCATATACACAGGGGGAAAAAAAGAAAGAAAGAAATACTCCCTGCGCCTACCACCCCCCAGGATCTTCTGAATCATCTACAAACAAAGTTGCCGCCCTAATTTCAGGAGTCAACAGAGCATTTTATTTTCCATAGTTTCCCGTCTGTCCCCTCCCTCCCCCCCCCCCCCCCCTGCCACTATCAGCTTTTTTTCTTTTGCTGGCCTCCCCCAGTCCCACTCAGAGCTTGGGGCAGAATTGCTTAGGATCCCTAACCAATACCCAACGAATTCCCCAGCACCCACCCACCCCCACCTTATTATCGCCTCCAAATGAAGACCAAAACCCCTATCGCTAATTGAATTAGTCTATTGAAAGGACCGGCAGGTACAATGACGTGGCTCGAGGCCCCTCATTTCCCAAGGTCTATAGGCTTTGGGGACCTGCGATGTATAGTCTGACCTTCTGGCTCATAATAATACCGCGGCACTTGTAGCAGAAATCTCCTCGCATTCACTCCCAACAAAACCGCTGGTCACCCAGTCCCCGTAGGAAGGCTGCGCGCTATTGTGTTGCGACAACTCATTCATGTCCCGCACCACGAGGCCCCACCGCCATCTGATCTACACTCGAAATGCGATTACCACCGTGTGCATGCAACACGCTCCGACTCCCAGCCCATCACACACACGCCCTGCCAGACTGCAAGGTTTTCTCTCATAATTCTCTTCATCATCTTCAAAAGAGAGATGGGAGCATGCAAAAACTTAGCATTTTTCTCCACTTAAACGAAATCCAAAATTCTGTGGAAATGCAGGCTCCTGGAAGATTTCTCTTTTCTGAGCAGCATGCCAAAACCCTCAGCAAACATATTTCTCTTGTACCCAACTGGTGGTGCTGACTTGGGATACATATTAATGTGCACATATTGGGCCTGTTACACACACAAGTATACACAGATACACACATTTTACAGACTCATTTTCTCTCTTGGTGGCTCTCACACACCCAAGCCAATAGACACTATCACCAGCTCGGCCCCCACAGCCAGAGGCCACTCTCCAGGATTACTAAGAGGTTTTCACAAGATTGGGGACGGGGATAAACAAAAGTACAATTTTTTCCATCTTCATCCTTCAAAACCCTCGTAAGTCTTCCTACTACATGATCCAAAAACATCTCTAGCAGCCCCCGGATATATGTACTCTTCCCCTCTGTTTGACCAGGTGCCTTTTGCTCGGTGAAAACCCCTAAATAGCCTCAGAGAATATGAGTCTAGCCATGGATGAGCCTAATGGATGATTCTGGCTCCTTGTCCTGTTTGCTCCACCTCCCACCATGGAGCCCCTTTAGGCCCCCTATTTCCTTTGAAAAGGAAGAGAATTCATAGGGCTTGCCCCCTCCCTTTAGTATTTGGAACAAAACAGTATTTTTGCTTCCTCGTCATTTTCTGCTTTTATTTGGGCGAGGTATGAAAAGGAACTTGGGGACTGTCAACTTATCGTAGGCATGGCCTGGCTGGTGGCCTTATGTGGGGCCTCTGGTCCAGGTGACTGCAGGGCTCAGAACAGCAAGGCAATGGAAATGGGCTGAGGACCCCCTGCTTTGCTACCTTTCCCCGAGGAGCAAACAGCATTTGGAGAAAGGGGGTGGATCTATTTTAAGCAGGTTCCACCACCTGCTCCTGTGGGCCCAATCCCCTGCCACCCCAGTGTCTATCAAGTTGAAAGCAATTCCTTAATTCCCAAAGGTAGAAATGAGTGCCTGGAAAGGCCACATAAATATACTCACGTGTGCACACACATCTCTCCATATAGACATACATCCAACCCCTTTACTCACATAGTTGTACACGCAACTCATCCTGCCAGCAGTTCCTCACCCTCATGCCCATCCCTGGGCTCACGCAGTCTCTGGACCTCTCACACATACGTCTTGGCCAATATTTGTTCATTCAACCCTTACACACCTCACTGGCAGGCTTGCCAGGATGCCAACGTGCTCACTCAAGGTCCCAAATAGTATGTTCATTTTCAGGAGGGAGAAGAGGGCATAGGGCCTGCGTGGGGGTTGTGGAGCGCAGGGCAGCGCCAGGTATGCAGCGTCCAGCCTAGGCCGACCTGGGGGCTGTGGGGGGACCAGCCAGCGTGAGGAGTGCCGCCTAATCCAGCCCGAGCTCGTGGGCCGCCGGTGCATTTATCATCCCATTACTGTAACAAATCCGGGCTCCACTACATGAAAGGTAAAATGAATTACCGACGTTAAGCCGTCAATAAAGTCATTTCTGTAAATGGTGTCTCCAAAGGGCCGCCGCATTATTCAGCTGGCTTTATCAGCTGGCTGGAAATTACGTGGAGGAGCCGGGCCGCGCGGCGCGCGGGGCCGCTCACTTTGATTAAGCGTCTTGCCAGCGCGATGTGACAGAGCTTTTGACCAGGGTTTTATTCACAGGCCTGTGATGAACGCCAAGCTGATCAGGCGGAATGAAGAGTAATTAAAACCTATAAATTATCTTCCGCAGCCCTTCTCGAGGCGTCTCCTGCAGGCGAGATAAGGCGTCGAGACCCTATTTACGGCGCTGAAAGGGACCGCGGCGCACAAAAGCTACGCGGCTAAATAGGATATTGATAGTGTCCTAATTAGAATTTAATTAAGTACCCACGCTCGCTTGCGGGATAAAGATTTCAATTTTGCGAACTTAAATATAAATAAAATTCCACCCCCATTTCAGGGAGAAGAGGTGGGGACGCCTGGAGATTTCGGGGAGACTTTGGGTGTGAGGCTAAAGGGGCTTCAGGAGACTGCGAGATGGGGTTGGGAGTGGCTTGGGAAGATTGAGGAGACCACAGCGGGCCTGCCCAGCGCAGCACTCAAGAGAGAACTTCTTTCTCCCAGGCCGCTGAATGGATCTAGGCAGGACCTCAGCCCCGGAAGCTGGGAGACCGTAAGCTGACCCTAAGATGCAACAAGAAATTCGAAGTCCTGCTCTCCACCATCCCCTTTGAGAAACTACTACTCAGCGACTTCGGTGGTTTGGCTTGGGATTTTTAGTTGTATATTCCTCCTAATCTAGCTTCTGTGACTTTTTTTGAAAACTACAGGTAGGGATATTATTCTTCATGCTCCAAATAGTATCCCCAAAGAGGTTTTTTTTCCCCTCTGCTGTCCAATTTGGCAATGGCCATCAAGGCGAGTGGGTTGGCTGGAGCTCGAAGATGACACCCCCAAAGAGGCCTGGTTTGTCCCAGCTTTTCTCCAATTCTCAGTGCAGTGGATCTTCAACACAGTCTACCCTGGCCCTCCAAAACCGCTCTGCAGACAAGCCCCGCCAGTGGTCAGCTTCTCATACCACCCTCAACCCCAGCATCCCTGGCTATGGAAAAACTCTTGGGGCACTTCGCTCAAAAAATAGAAAAAGCCCATCAGATGTGAGTGAGCGAGCGGTCAGAGCTATGGTAGTTCCCAAGCGAGAGAAGAATGTAGTGAGCTAGACCAGTCCAAGGCATACAGGGAGTGGGGAGCTATCCCAGGAAATCCAGTTACTCCACAGTTGGGGGAAGCTCCTCATCCACTCGTCAGTTGGCTGAGACAAACACTTGGCAGCACTTTTATTCGTGTGCTTTTACTTTGCAGGTAAATCTAACACAGAGGTTGCCTTGACCCTGAAAACCAGAGCCTAGCACCGATCTGTGTTCTGACTTGCCTGGCCCAGAGGCCCTCCTGGGACAATTCTATGAGACAGCCCGGACTCCCGCTGCCAGAAAAGGAACAGGCGGCCGGCTCAGGGGCTCTTCTGAGCCCAGTGGGCCTGACTCAGTGGCGCCAGGGCAGCTCCCGGGTGTTTCTGAAGGGCTACACAGGGAAGAGCTTGGGTGCGAATACTCCAGAAAAGGCACGCAATGTAGACAGCCGGCATGAGACCTAAAAACCAGCGGTGCTAGTTAGGCGCAGCGGCCTCCCAGGTCTGCTATTTGTGAAAAATAAACTGCGCTTCTGAAAGTAACCAACTCTGGGTCTATTTCATATCGACCTCCTCGGTTTACTGCATGGCAGCACTTTTATTCGTGTGCTTTTACTTTGCAGGTAAATCTAACACAGAGGTTGCCTTGACCCTGAAAACCAGAGCCTAGCACCGATCTGTGTTCTGACTTGCCTGGCCCAGAGGCCCTCCTGGGACAATTCTATGAGACAGCCCGGACTCCCGCTGCCAGAAAAGGAACAGGCGGCCGGCTCAGGGGCTCTTCTGAGCCCAGTGGGCCTGACTCAGTGGCGCCAGGGCAGCTCCCGGGTGTTTCTGAAGGGCTACACAGGGAAGAGCTTGGGTGCGAATACTCCAGAAAAGGCACGCAATGTAGACAGCCGGCATGAGACCTAAAAACCAGCGGTGCTAGTTAGGCGCAGCGGCCTCCCAGGTCTGCTATTTGTGAAAAATAAACTGCGCTTCTGAAAGTAACCAACTCTGGGTCTATTTCATATCGACCTCCTCGGTTTACTGCACACACGCGCGCGCGCGCGCGTGTACACACACACATACACACAAACAGGCACGCAGTGACAACCACCTCTCACCTTTTTAACAGCAACAACCAAAATTTAAAATAAATAATAAAAAGGAGGGAGGGAGAGAGAAAAAGTAGAGACAGAATAAAAAGAGTTTCTTAGGCGTGGGTTGATGCAAAAACATTCAAGACCCTGCTTTCAGACCCCGCGCCAGGCACTCTTGCACGGTAATCCTGCATTTCTCCAACAAGTTGTTTGTGGAGTTGCTTCTCTTATTTGCCTGCACCCCGAAATCCATCCTTCCCCGGTCTCTTCTACCCCCTCCTTGATCCCTGCTTGAAGAAGGGGGCGGGGCGAGGTGCGGGGGTGGGGG